GATACGCAATAGGTGAATGTCTCACCTGCCCCCGCTGAGGTGTCGCGGCAGTGGTACTTCCAGACGAGCCGTCCGGCGATGAAAGTAGATAAAAACCAGAGAGAGAGAGAGAGCGAGAGCGGCCGGGGTACCTGCCCGAGCGAGTGAATGAAGCGGTCTGTCCGGAGGCGGCTGCTCCGTCACGGCAGGTGTCCTGGGCCGGTGCGGCTCCTCGCGCCCCCTCCGCGCGGTGGTGCAGCGCGAGCCGGACGGTCAATGCGGCGGCGGGTGCGGGGAAGGTTCCCGGCACGAGGACAGCAGCGCGAGACGAGAGAGGCTGACCCGGGGCTGGTCGGGAGGATGAGAAAGGAGGAGGCGAGGAAGAGCGAGGCAGAGAAAACACCGGGAGAGAGGACCCAAAAAAAACTGAACTGCCCACTTTTTTTTTTTTACTCCTACAAAACCTCCTTTCTTCTTTTCCTAACAGGGGGGAGAGAAGAGAGGGAGTGTGTGTGGTGGTGGTGGTGGGGGGGAGCAGGAAAATAAAAAGATGCTTTTTGCCAGGAGTAATCACGCCGCTTGATGAATCTATTCGTAATTCAACATCACGCTGGCAGTCCAAGAGTAGTTTAAAAAAAGCTGGGAGGAGGAGGGGGGTGAAACGGATGCCAACAGTTCGGAAGCCCTTTTGAATGTGTAACATCCCCCTCACACACACACACATCCCGAAAAAGAAAAGTGTGTGAAAGAAATGTGAAAAAAAAGAGGGCGAGCTGGACGGGGGAAAGTTGGAGCCTGTTTGTGCGGAACGCGCGTCCGCGAGCTGCTGATGCTGCAGACGATGCTCGAGCCGCCCGGAGTCTCGCGGAGCACAGCCGGCTCGGAGGCGCGCGCACGCCGCGCTACACCTGCCGGCGCGCGCGCGCGCCTCCTCGCGCGACCTGCCTTAGGCTCGACCCTCGGCCGACCGACTGGAAGGAAGGCATCCGAACCGAATGTGATATTTTTTTCATATCAAGAAGTCAGCATTGGAAAACGGGCGCTTCAGTGCTCAGTAACCCCCTCCCCCCCCTTTCGACGGTATCTGACCAGGGGGAGGCAATTTAAGCAGCAAGCGGCCCCACATACTTTCAAATCCAGACTCAAAACCTTCTCTTTTTTTTTGTAGAAGGGCTTTTATTGAGCTGGTCCTCTGTCTGCCTCTTTGCTTTTTCTGCTGTATTCGAGACCCCCATCTACAATCTCCTCTCTCTGTGTATTCTCGTTGTCTTTGCTCTGTGAAGCGCTTTGCGAAGCCACTTTTAAAGGCTCTATATAAATAAAGCTGATGATGATGATGATGATTATGATTATTATTATTATTATTATTATTATTATTATTATTATTGTGACACGCACGCTGAGCCATGCCCTCACTGGCGGCCCTACCCAGCAGCCCCCAGTCCACCGTGCAGCCCGACACTGCCGGGACCCCTCACCCGAGAAACCCCAGCTGCGCCCGGATCGGGGCTGAGGAGGAGTCGGAGTCGGGCCGCAGCGTGAATGCAGCATTGTACCGCTGAGCCCCGCCGGCAGCGATCGCCAAGTGTTAGGCTGGGGAGGAATTTAACACGGGCGCACCAGCGGGGGGGGGGGCAGACCAAACAGCCAGCGCTGCTGGGAATCCGGCCTCTGTACCGGGCGGCGCGGCAGAGGAGTGCAAAACCACCCTGGGGACTGGAGCTCCCCTCGCCGCAGGGTGGGTACATTTTTGCACTCGTTGACGCGCTCGTTTTGAAACCCCGCCAGCCGAGATCACAGGACAGCGTTCTTGAAATCTTTCCTCATCTGAACGACCCGTCGGCCCGTCCGGTCCCCGAAGCCGACTCCAGGTGCCTAGGATCTGCTGTAGACTGGTACGCGCGGATTAGAAACTCCACAGTAAGATCTATATGT